CAGCCTCAACAATTCTGTGATTCTGTAATGCTGGAAAAGACAATCAAATGTATAAAATTTACACACTTTTCAGGCTTCGAGATCCTGGGTTTTCAAAGTCACTGCCTTCCAGTTTATCTTTCAGATCTGCTTCAAACCGTGCCAAGTCTGCATCCAGCCGGCGGATATGCTTATCCACCTGCACAGAAGAGGAAACCACAAACTGAATTTTAAAAAAAAAAAACCAAACACGAAAAAAAACCAAAAGAAAATGGGAAAGTGAAAGAACTTGGCCATTATCAGCATGAGTAGGAGAATACAACTTCAGAGCAAGTATGAAAGGAGTATCAAACTGGAAAAAGAGAAATAGTACACAGAAAAAGGAATTAAGGCAGAGAGAAAAAGAAAATAGGCAAAAGCAAGAGGACCCAGTCCCTCTACAGACAAAGAAAAAGGAAGGAAAAGGGAAGTGGCATAAAAGAAAGTCAATGCAACTCAGACTAATGGTTTGCAGAACAAAACAATACGAGAGATATTAAAAATAACTGTTTTCCTCCCCGCAATTTTCAAAACACATTATTCAACTATTGTCCATGAAATGTGGATCACTCTATTTGTTCTGGTATTCCACTGGCTTCTGCTGTCTATCTCCAATATCACGTCAATACACGTTAAGTAAGCACATTTTCCTACTCTGGTTGCAATTATGTGGCTTACAGAACAGAGATGTAGCAAATGTATTTTAAGCCACTCTCCCCAAACTGTGTTGCTAGTCCTCAATTTTCAATTTCTGTAAAATAATTTCCTTTTCTGCAGTATTTGATGGCAATAAAATGTACTGCAGCTGCATACAAAGCAGAACCCAGAGTGTCTCCAGACAGTGGACAAAACACAAAGCATGGTCAAATGGATTCTCCTCACTCAAGTTTTATCTAGATGGTACAATACATAGAGAGAAGAATTATCCAAGAGATGGCAAAACAGACACAGAAGTAGCGGCAGAGAAAGACAAGTGTGTAAAGCTGCATTTTAAAAAGTGAGGTTTTCCCACTGGGCCCACTGAGGAAAATTTGGTGTCCAATATACAAACAGATGGTGGAGCTGATGGATCTGCTTTCTTTACCCCTTGGAAACCAAGATAACTGAGCAGATTTCCTTCCACTCCTCCACAATACACTCCTCCCAAGTGCCAGCCAAAGAGTTGAAGGCATCATGGGAACTGGCTAACATCTGTGTTCATGAGTCTACAGTAGGTAAAACATTGAACAAGCAGGGTGTCTATGGCAGGACACCACAAAGGAAGCCGCTGCTTAAGAACATTGCTGCATGCCTGAAGTTTGGGGAAGAGCACGTTAACACTCTACAGTGGTATTGGCAAAATGTCTTGTAGACCGGTGAAACAAAGATTGAACTGTTTGGAAAGAACATGCAGTACTACATGTGGTGTAAAAATGGCACTGCAAATCATCATGAGAACATCGTCCCAGCTGTAACGTATGGCGGAATAAACATCATGATTTGAGCCTGCTTTGCTGCACGAGGGCCTGGCCAGCTCACAGTCATTGAGAGGAAGATGAATTCCCAAATGTATAAAAAATCCTTCAAGATAATGTGAGAATATCTGTACGACAGCTGAAACTCTGTAGACGTTGCATCAAACAGAACAATAAAGCAAAACACCAGAGCAAGTCCACAACAGAACGGCTTCAGAAAAACAAAATCTGCCTTCTGGAGTGGCCAGGTCAGAACCCACACCTCAACCCAAGAGAGGTGCTACGGAATAACTTGAAGAGAGCCATACATATGAGATATCTAAAGAACGTGACAGAGCTAAAGCAGTCCTGCCAGGAAGAATGGGCTAAACCCCCTCCTGAATGATGGGCAGGTCTGATCCACAGCTACAGGAAGTGCCTGGCTGAGGTTATTGCTGCCAAGGGCAGGTCAATCAGTTATTGATTCTAAGGGTTCACTTACTTTCCCACTAGCATTTTAAATGCTGAATGACTGTGTTCAATAAAGACACGGGGGATGAGAATTGTTTTTCTGTTATTATTTTAGGCACATAATATTTATCAATACTCTTTGACTTAGATGTCGGTTAGATCACATTTTATGACAAATAAATGCAGAACACCATGAAATTCAAAAAAGCTCACATACTTTTTCTTGCAACTGTATTGGGTGACAGGGGAGCTGCTGTAGAGGAGGGAGTGGGGTGTATTTCCTGGTGTTATGGCACAGCAGACGGCTACTACTGATCAAGCCATCTCCAAGTGGGATAAACTCATTTAACTTTCAACTAAAAGAGAAGTCTACTTGACACAAAACCTGGTAAGACAAGAGGAGGCTTTTTGGAGATGGCACCAGTAAAAAAAAATAAGCTTCACAATTAATAATTTGCTTCAGGAAGACATGTAAACAAAACCATAAACGTGCCAGGGAAAATGGACACCGTGGAAGTGTTTTCCATGTCCATTAGCAGCCCCATTCCAGAATATGACCATTTTTACAAAAGTCTCACTGGCTGTGATCCTCACCATCTCGTATGTCTGCATGGCCAGCTGGACTTTATCATCGCTGTACTCTTTACATTTGTTGTAGGCACTCTGGATTTTCTTCAAGTGCTCTGCTCGCTCCTCAGGTAACATGTTCTTCACTGATTCAATGTATTCTGCTGCAAGACTATCAATTTCTGCCTTCTTATCTGAAAAGCAAAGTATATACACATGAGAAAGCTGCCTCCCAAAGCCAGTATTTTTTTCTTTAACCTTTTTAAGGTATTTAGAAGACATCTCTTGACAGTTTTTGAACTTCTCCCAGCACCTTCTTTTTTTTTTTTAAAGAAAGTAAAATTATTCCCTTTTCAACACTTGTGATTTCTCAAGTTAATTTCTCAGTTAATTTAGAGGAAAGGCTCACAGTTAATATCAGAAACTGAACCCACAGGTTCACAAACTTCAGCCCCTCTTTCCACACACAGAAGACATTATTTGCTGTACTGCCATTCACTATTCTAATCATTCCAATTGAAAATCATTAATGTACAACCATATGCTAAAAAAGATGTCAAAGAAAGAAAAAAACTGGTCTTGCTAGATACATCAATCTACAACTCAGTAGATGTGGCAATATGTGCCAGTAAGGCCATCCAAGTGGTACAGCAATTGCATAGCTACAAATTAACATAAAACTGCTGGAAAAAAAAAAAATCTAGTCACGGGCTGTAGCCTTGACAGAAAAGGAAAAAAACCGCTGCGCAGCACTCGGTTTGAGAAAAGTGGTAGAGGGGAGACATGTCCTCCAAAGCCGAGTCTCCACGGCGTTCTTCCCACCTTCCAGGTCAAGGCTCCCTATCAGAATCCGCTACTGAAATGCCGAACACACCTTCTGTTCTCTGATCCAACTCCCGCATCAGCTGAAAGTTCCTTTGCAGCTCACACGGCAGGTTTTCGATACCTGGAACACAAAGACAAGAAACACTACAGCCCGTTCTCTGCAGAGCAGCAGCCACCCTCCCTCTGAT